CACAGCTGCGGGCTCCCCACCCCCCCAGGTACTACCGCATGGCGGCCTTCGGGCACCACTCCTACAGCATGCGGGAGTCAGACGTGCTCTACGACTGTCTGCCCCTGTACCACTCCGCAGGTATGCGGGGGGGGGGAGACCCGGTCCCTCACCCAGCCCCACCCCGGGACTCCTTACCCACCCCTCGCCCTCCGCAGGGAACATCATGGGCGTGGGGCAGTGCATCATCTACGGGCTGACGGTGGTCCTGCGCAAGAAGTTCTCTGCCAGCCGCTTCTGGGACGACTGCGTCAAGTACAACTGCACGGTCAGGCCCCGCCCCCGCGATGGCCACGCCCACCCACCCTGTCCCACGCCGGCCCCGCCCCCGCGATGGCCACGCCCACCCACAGTGCCCGAATCCCCGCCCACTCGCGCTCGTCACGCCCCTCCCCGCGCAAATCCCGGATCTTTGGTCAATTTAAGGGAATCGGCCTGACGGGGCCCCCACGAGGGCTCGGCCCTCCGCGCCCCTCCTCCCGTCCAGCCCCAGCCTAGGCCTCTATGGGAACCCATTTAATGCAGGTGGAGAAGGGGCTCCTCCGCCGAAAGCCCCCCCCACCGGCCCTGCGGGCTCCACCCCAGGTGCAGCTGCTTTCGAAGAACTTGTGTGAGATTGCAAATCCACCTGAAATGTGAAACAGTCACTTGGGGGGAGGGGCGGTACTGGGCCTTGGGCTCGAACCCTGCGCCTGGGGGCTGTCCCTGAGATTTCGTGCTAAGGCTAGCTTTGAACTGCTTGTGCCATGCACCCCCTCCTGCTTTTCCTGGTGGTTAATTAGAGATGAGAGCCTCCTGGACTTTGCTGCCCGGGCTGGCTTTGAACCACACTCCTCTTAGCTCAGCTACTTAAATAGCTGGATTACAGGCCTGAGCCACCAGGCCCAGTGAGGAGTCTCTTTTTAACAAAAGAGCCAAGGCTGTAGCTCGGTGACGGGAGCTGGCTTTGCATCACATCACCAGCCCTGCACCAAAGGACCAAACAGAGAAACGGCCTGTGGGGGTGCAGCAGCCACCCACTGCCAGCCAGCGCCTGCCCCTGCGCACCCACCCCGTCTGCCTAGAGAGGAACAGACAGACAGACAGCGCCTTCCTGCTGGTGGTTCCAAGGCACCCCCCAAAGACGAGGACCTTCCTGGTGAAAATGGCCATGGGAAAGTCTGTGTGCCAGTGGCTGTGGGCCGCCTGGCCCCTCTCCAGTCCTCGTCCCTTCATCTTGCCCCTGGGTGGTGTAGCTGTCCTGGGCTTAGCCTTCCCCATGTCCCTCAGAGTTGGGCAGTGGCTGGGGCATCTGCCAGGTGCCAGCCGGGCCTGATGGTGGCAGTAGTGAGGTGGATGGGTACACCCCAGGGGATGGTGGCCCCTGTGGGCGGAGGCGGGTGGACACAAGAGAGGAGGCAGATGGAGAGGGCTGTTCTGACCTCACCCTGGGAGGGATGTTGGAAGCCTCCGTGCTAGGCTGGTGAGACTCGAGCAGGACCAGCCTCCTGCCCACTGCAGAGGCAGATCTGCCATTCACTGGCTCTGTGGCCTTGATCTGCACCTGTGTGAACCTCCGTTTCTGACTGTGAAGAGGAGAGTGCAGAGTCACCGAGATACCTGACCCAAGATCAGAACTTGAGGCCATCTGGGAAGCCACCCCAGGAAGCCCCATGGGGTGGAAACCCAGGCAGACACCCCGGCAGGGATCTGTGGAGATTGGGGCTGGGTGCTGCTGTACCTGCATCACAGCCACACGGGGGCAGCTCCATCTGGGGGCAGAGGGGCCGGGAGAGTTGTGGGGGCTGCCCAGTGCCTCGGCCTGGATTAGGGGCTCCTGAGGCGTGGCCTTGGGGCATGGGGTTGGGGCCTGCCTCCCGATTCCCCCCACTGAGCCCATGGTGGCCTCCCCCTCCCTCCTCCCTCCTCCTGCCCCCTTCCTTCACCAACACCGCTGGTCTGGCCGCCCGGGCCTCCTGCACAGGTGGTGCAGTACATCGGGGAAATCTGCCGCTACCTGCTGAAGCAGCCTGTGCGCGAGGCTGAGCGGAGGCACCGCGTGCGCCTGGCCATGGGCAATGGGCTGCGCCAGGCCATCTGGGAGGAGTTTGCACAGCGCTTTGGTGTGCCGCAGATCGGCGAGTTCTACGGAGCCACCGAGTGCAACTGCAGCATGGCCAACATGGACGGCAAGGTGTGAGCGGGCGTCTCCCCACTCACACTTCCCACACAACCCAGGGGTGCCACTTAGCGATGGGAAGCACGCCCGCCCTGGCTCACCAGCCCTGGGGTCACCTGGGGCTCCACATCCTCGTGCTGGGTTTGGAGAGGCAGCAGAGCCCATGCCTGGCTCCTGCGAAGGGCTGGTGCCTGACCTGGCGCTGTGGCTCACGCCTGTCATCCCAGCTACTCAGGAGGCTGAGATCTGAGGACCGAGGTTCAAGGCCAACCTGGGCAGAAAAGGCTGTGAGGGTTTTATCTCACACCACCAAAAAGCCAGAAATGGAGCTGTGGCTCAAAGTGGTAGAGCTCCAGCCTTGAGTGCAAAAGGTCAGGGACAGCACCCAGGCCCCAAGTTCAAGGCCAGGACTGGCACCAAAAGAAAAAGGGCCTGCTACACTCAGCTCCGCCTTTGGCGGGTCACTCGAGGTCGTGGAGTGGGGGGTGGGTGCTGGAGGTAAGAGGAGCAGTGGAGGCACGAAGACACCCGCCCCACCCCCAGCCGCTCACAGACTCCTTTCCCCGCCAGGTCGGCTCCTGTGGCTTCAACAGCCGCATCCTGACCAACGTGTACCCCATCCAGCTGGTGAAAGTGAACGAGGAGACCATGGAACCGCTGCGCGACGCCCAGGGCCTGTGCATACCCTGCCAGCCTGGTAAGCAGAGGCCCCAGGGCAGGGAGGCTCCCCCCCCACACCTGCTCCAAGCCCAGCTCCTCCCCAGGGGAGCCGGGCCTCCTGGTCGGCCAGATCAACCAGCAGGACCCACTGCGCCGCTTCGATGGCTACGTCAGCGACAGCGCCACGGACAAGAAGATCGCACATAGCGTGTTCCGCAAGGGCGACAGCGCTTACCTGTCAGGTGTGCAGCCCGCCCGGGCCGGGCCGGCGGCCCGTCCTCCCGGCTGACCCGGCCCCTGCCCTCACAGGGGACGTGCTGGTGATGGACGACCTGGGCTACATGTACTTCCGGGACCGCAGCGGGGACACCTTCCGCTGGCGCGGGGAGAACGTTTCCACCACGGAAGTGGAGGGTGTGCTGAGCCGCCTGCTGGGGCAGACGGACGTGGCCGTGTACGGGGTGGCCGTGCCAGGCAAGTGCCAGGCGGCTGTGCGGGGTGCAGAAGGCCCAGGGTCCCTGCAGAGGGGTCCTTGGGTCCAGACGCCCTGCATGGTGCATGGGCAGGTGTGGTGTAGGCTCACCTGTGTCGGCGCTGCTGTCAAACCGGGACGCGGGGCCAGCGGGGGGCTGTGAGGTGTTGGAGTGGAGGTAGAGGGAGAGGCTCTCAGCAGGCCTCTGTACGCAGGGGTGGAGGGGAAAGCGGGCATGGCCGCCATCGCAGACCCCCGCCGGCAGCTGAACCCAGACGCCATGTACCAGGAGCTGCAGAAGGTGCTGGCACCCTACGCCCGGCCTATCTTCCTGCGCCTGCTGCCTCAGGTGGACACCACAGGTAAGGTCCAGCAGCCTCTGCAGGGGGATGGAGCAGGGCAGGGCAGGCCCGGGTAGGGGGTAAGGCAGGGGCTCCCTCACATGACAGACAGAGATGTTCACTTACATCCGATCCAGCTCTGAGAGCTGTCCTCCCATCGCCCCCGCCCCCCAAGTCCTCCCGGGCAGAGGCTCTGCACATGGCCTTGGGTTGGAGAGACACCCTTTTCCTCTTAGGGTCTTCTCTTGCAATGTTGTGTAGTCTGCTACCACACAGTGCACATGTTGCCTTAAAGGTCACAGTAGTGGACGCTGACAGGTTGTCCAGTAACACAGTCTCTGCCTTTGCAGCACAAACCTAGTCACAGGCAGTGTGTAAATGAACAGGCATGGATATGTGCCAATAAATCTTTATTGATGCGCACAAGTTGAGGGCCAAATCTGGCCCTCAGATTGTAAGTGGTTAAACTCTGGCCCAGTGTGCGAGACACAGCCACGCTCAGTTGTGTGTGAGGGGGGAGGGGAATGTGTGGACTGCAGAGCAGACAAACATCTAGCTGTGGAGCGTGGGGGAGGCCCTGGGAAGGCAGCGGGGCGGGGGCAGAGGCCGGGACGCCCAGAGCTGCCACAGCCCCCCCTGTCCCCGCCACCCAGGCACCTTCAAGATCCAGAAGACCAGGCTGCAGCGAGAGGGCTTTGACCCCCGCCAGACCTCAGACCCGCTCTTCTTCCTGGACCTGAAGCAGGGCCACTACCTGCCGCTGGACGAGGGGGTGTACAGCCGCCTCTGCGCGGGCGCCTTCGCCCTGTGAGGGTCGGGCCCGGCTGGGCCCCGCCTCTCCCCGTCCCCGGGGGCCGGCCCGGGCCCACGCCGCCGAGCCTTAGCCCGGCACACCGCCCGGGACGCCTGGCTGCGGCCTCCGGAGAAGCCGGAGGTCGGTTTCTTTTTCTTCTTTCTGAGGCCGTCTGCGGCGTGGCGGCCGGGCCCTTCCGAGGGGCCGTCCACCCACCTTCCTCCTCCCGTGTCCCGGAAGCCTCTGGAACGGCCCGCGGGCCGCGGGGCTCAGGGGCGGCTCCCGGGGCCGCCGCGATGGAGGGACGTCCCTCCCGACAGTGGCCTGGCTGCCCCCGGGTTCCGGTGCCCGGGCCGGGCCGGGACCTCCCGGCCGGCCAGCGGCTCTCAGAAATAAACGCTGCCGTCCGGCACCGGCCGGGGCTCGTGGCTCGTTTCTCGTCTGTCCCCGCCGGGCGCAGCCTCCCCGGGAGCGGGAGCGCGGCGGGTTCCGGGCCCGGCTCCTGCCCGCGCCGTCGGGCGGGGCGGCTTCCCCAGCAGCTGTGTGCGCACGCGCGCGCGCTCGGGCTGGCCTGGCCTCAGGCTCGTGCTCGCTCCAGGCGGGCGCTCCGCCACTCGAGCCGCAGCGCCGCTTCTGACTTTGCGGTGGTTAACTGGGGCCCCTCGTGGGGACGTTCCTGCCCGGGCTGGCCTCGAACCGCGATCCTCAGACCTCCACGTAGCTGGGCGGTCGGGCCCGAGCCTCGGGCGCCCAGCAAGAGGCCGGAAGTGGGGCTGCGGCTCCCGGGTAGAGCGTTCGAACCCCGCGGCCGGCCGGCACTCACGCACACGGGTGGGAGCTCCGAAGCTCCCTCCTCCAGGACGCCGCAAGCCGCGGCTCCCGGGTTCTCCTGCCGCCTCCGCCCCGCCCGGCAGCGCTCCGGCTTCGCCCACCGCACTGCGCATGCGCGCCCGGCGGCC